TCTCTCTGTCTGTCTGGCAAGCGCACGCGCCCTATAGTGAAAACCTCTCCAAAAAAAAAAAAAAGAAATACCTCTCTTAAGCCAACTGATGGCATGGTGGTTAAAGCAGTTGGATCCCGGGACCAGCAGTTAGCGTAATGGCTTTGTCACTGGACTCCCATGTAGATGATCGCTGTTTGAGTCCTGGACCCAGTAGCACATGTGCATGCGTGCCCAAGATCCCAAGAAGAGAAAGGGGGAGAAGGAATGGGGGTTGGCCATCCCCCCTGGAGGGGGGTTATTTCTCACTTTCTGTCTCTGTCTCTCTCTCTCTCTGTCTTTCTAGTGAGCACACATGCCCTATAGCAAAAACCTTATAAAAAAACCCTTAAAAAAAAAAAAAAAAAAAAAAAGGCAGCTGGATCCCATATGGCCAACTGTGTGGTTCAAGTCTTGGACCTAACAGCTTGAAGAACATGCCAGGTGCATGTGTGTATGGCATGGCTAAAACCCCCAAAGGAGAAATGGGAGAGAAGGGATTATTAGAATGTGGCCATCTCCCATAGGGGTACTTTCTCTTTCTCTCTCCCTTTCTCTGGCAAGCACACATGCCCTTTAGCCAAAAAAAGAAAAAACAAAAACAAAAAAACCTCATTCTCTCTTGCTTGCTCTCTCTCTCCTCTTCCTGTATACTCTCTCTTTCTCTGTCTGCCCTCTCTTATAAAAAGAAGAGTCATATAATATAAAGAGATAGAAGGGCCAGCAGGTGACATAGTGGTTAAGGCACTAAACTCCCACACAGCCAACCACCATTTGAGTCCCAAATCTGGCGTGCCAAAAATCCCAGGAGGAGAATGGAGGAGAGCAATTGCGGTGTGACCATTCCCCCTGGGAGGTTATTTCTCATTTTTCTCTCTCCCTGTCTCTATCTCTCTCTCTCTCTCCAGCAAGTACACATGCCCTATGGCAAAAATCTTTTTAAAAAAAGAAGAAGAGATAGAGAAATAGATGTATATACATGACTAATTGTATGTCCACAATGCATGATTTAACATGATAAAAGTATACATACACAAGGCAGAGTCCAATAGGCTATTAAAACATTTTATATAGGGGCTAGGGGTGGCATGACAGTTAGGGTACTGGACTTCCACATGGCCAACCACGGTTTGAGTCCTGGACCTGGTGACTTGCTTTCTCACTTTCTCTCTCTCTCTGGTGAATTAAAAACAGTAGTAATAAAATTGAATAGTTCTTTAAAAACATTTTATATACTTTTCTGTGCTTTGCAAATTTGATACGATAAGTACTTATTCATTTATGATTTTTCTCTTTTTAGTTTTTGCTATAGGGTGTGTGCACTCACTAGAGAGAGAGAAGGAAAATGAGAAATCGCCCCCTGCAGAGGTGGTCACACAGCAACCCCTTCTTCTCCATTCTCCTATCAGGATTTCAGGCACACACTCATGCATGCCCAGCATGATTTTAAAGCCACTAGGTACAAAACTCAGACTGCATAGTCAGGCATATGGGATCCAGCTACCTTAACCCCCTGTTACCTGCTGGCCCTAATCATTTATGATTTTTAAAGCTTTTATTTTAGAACTCCACCATTAAAAACCATTACAATATCATTATTCTACAAAATGTCGAATCTCAGTGCAATAATAATACCTATGGTAAGTATTAATGCTTTCTCTTTCTGAAAGTCAGTACCAGTTATTCAAAGATGATGCTACAGCTGCTCTTACTGGCTGGTGTTCGGTTGGATGGGAGCTTTAAGATTTCATTCAGATATGTGGACAGATTTCCCACTGTGTTCATATTTCTTCATTTTTTCTGTGTGGCTCAACTCTATATGCCCATTGGGCAGAATTCTCTACCATGGATCAGTCAGCTAACTGACCTAAAAGCAGGGTAGTCTTTGTTCTGTGGAGGACTGACATGCCCAGTATTCCCAAGGGAATCCTTCCTACTGGTCTAAATGCATTAGAATAGAGCCTTATCCAAAAAGGGCTGATGACCAGGCATGGGGCAGAGGTAATTTGAAGCCCAGGGCCTTTAAGATAACTGGGCTGTCTTGCCAGCCCTGGACAAAGAGAGTGTGGTTTCTGGGGAAAGCACCACTGTCCTGCTGTCTGCAGTTGGGCAGCCTCCAGGACTGCAGTTCATAGGTTTCACTCTATGAACACAGTCAGCAGTACCAACACTAGTGGCTTCAGTAGAAGTTAAGCAGAAAATCTGTGCATATTGGAATTGTTTGGGGAACGGATGTAACAATAAGCAAACATGCAAAACCCACTGCTTCGAGATGTTTTGTAACAGCTGTGCTCCCTACAGAACAGTTTTCCTCATTGCCTGGATCCCAGAGCATCCCCTGGGTCTTCCGTGTTAGAATGTTCAATGTCCACAGAGACTTTGAGATGAGAGGGAGGGGACCGTCTCCCAGTGAGATTGATGCAGCAGATCATGCAAGGTAAAACCTCAGCAGGTGAGATGAAATAGAGCAAAGGGTCTGTGTGTCTGTCAACCTCAGATGAGAGATTTTTTTCTGGCTTTCTAGGTGAATAAGCTTCCACTGAGTGAGCCAGACACAGACTCAAATGTCATCATGACTTGTGCGTATGACATCTTTGCCCAAGAACAGTATGATTAAACTCGTATATATCAAATCATTATAATACGGTGTTGGTCAGGATAGGCTAGACAGGAAGAATTAATACATTAACCCCCAAAATACTGGCTTAACATGATAAAAGTTTATATCACGCATCACAATCGAGTGCAGGTAGGAGATTTGCCTGGGTGACTTCTCCAAGTGGTGACTTGGAGATTCATAGTCCTCTCTTCTTAAAATACCATCTCTTCAACATTTGGCCTCAACAATTGCCACAGAGGGAAAAGAGAGTATGTTTAAGATCACGAAGTGGGATTTATGGCTAGCTCTGCAAGCACCGTTTATTACTCTAACCAGAACCCACTCCCATGACCCTCTCCTAACTACAGAGGAGGCTCGGAAGTGTTGTCTTTTTGTATGCCAGAAAGGGAAAATGAAATTAATGAGCTTCTAGCCAAGCTTTGCCGCAAGTTCCTTCAACTAGTATTTTTCTTCAATTATGATTTGCATTTGATTCTATATAAGCTTCTTCTTTGCCTCACACTGTGTTCTGTGATTTCCACATGGCAGCATCCATTCCTCACACCAGGACAATGAGTTGTCAAAATGTTTTATTTTATTTTATTTTATTTTTTTGAGAGGTTTTTGCTATAGGGCACGTGTGCTCGCCAGAAAGACAGAGAGAGACAGAGAGATAGAAAGTGAGAAATCACTCCCCAGGGGGGATGGCCACGTCCCAATCCCTTCTCCTCCATTCTCCTCTCTGGATCTTGGGCACGCATGCACACACGCCTGGCGTGAGTTTAAGCCACAGGGTCTGGGACTCGAACCATGGTCGACTACATGAGGGTCCAGCGACATAGCCATTACACTAACTGCTGGATCCTCAAAATGGGTTTTATTGCCCACATTTTATGGATGTGGATTCCATAGTCCAAAGTAGTTACATGACCTGTCCAAAGTCATGTACTACTAAGTGATAGTCACATTAGTGGTATCTTCCCTACAAGCTCAAACTAGATGTACAGATCTCAGTATGTGAACTCAAATATGCAAGAAATGTATATTGGGCTGTCTCAGTGGCCTAATGGTTAAGGAAGCCAGATTCCACATGGCTGATCATGATTCAAATCCTAGCCCCAGAAGCTTGAAAAGCACACTGGGCACATATACATGGTTATCCAAAATCGCAACAGGATGGAGAAATGAAGGAGAAGGGATCGTGATATGATCATGCCCCATTGGGAGTGCATTCTCTCTCTCCCTCTGTCTCTCTCTGGCAAGTGCACTGTGTTTCTGGCTATTAAATTAATGAACTGAAATAAATATAAAAAGAAATCCATATTTATTATTCTATAAATTGACCTAATTTTATTTCAAGTCTCCACTTAATGTTGGAAGGTGTCCACAATGTCATCCACCATTCTGGTATTTCTCCACCTTTAAAGATATGTCTAAGTTTTTTTGGGAGGAGGGGTAGAGGGATGAGTGGTTGGGTATTTCCCAAGATATTGGGAAATTCATTTGTTCCTCAACTGAATTATTTTAGGAGACATCAGCCAAGACGTCCACAGTTCCTTCTGGTCTTTCTTTACTGATACTGATGAATCTGTGCCTCCTTCCAGCTCACATGACCCATTTCCATCCAGCAGCCCCTTGCTACTTTAGGGCTGCTCTGGGGTCTAGAAAATTCCATAGTTCCACACCACACAACCATTCTCCCGCCACAGCTTGCCACTTCCCTGAGGTAGAGGGGTAAAGGAGTAAAGAAGAACCTTGCCTTCTCACTTTTCATCCATCTTTCCTCTCACCCTAGCAGAAGAAAGTGTTCCTAGTCTTCCAAGGATGCCCCAATCTCCTCAAATCTTTTTCTTCCAAATACTTTGGCTATATTCTAAATCTTCTCTACTCCTTTGAGAGTAATACAAAACACAACTCATGGAAGTTTCCATTTTTATTCAATAAAGGCAGTACAAAGGCCTGCTGTCCAGAGCATAGAGGCAGGGAGAAGCGGGTAGGGGAATACCAAGAACCATTTCTCAATCACATGCATATCACACTTCAGTTGACAAAATCCTTGTGAGGTGAGTATCTGTGTCATTGTTCTGAAACTAACATGGGGGAAGAAGCTTTGATGGGAGTTCTTACATTGGGGACTAGCAGGTTAGGGCCTCTCCTGCCTGATGGGTGTACATTCCCTACCCACCCAACATCAGCTCCATCTTTTATGACTCAATCCTGCAATCCTGATGATAAACTCTGCAGCTAATGGTGGGGACCTGGTCTTCTTAGAAGACATATAGCTGTGAAAGCCTGTGCATAGATGATTTACCAGTGTTCTAAAGGTGGAAAAGATTATTTGTTTTTCTGGCCATTTAAATGTTTATCACTTCCTATCCCTCAGCTATGAGTGCACACCCAAGAGTAAATTGTTCCCAAGGGGCAGAGGAGAACATGTCATTGTACAGTGCAAGCACACTGATGAAGAGAAAAAGAAGTATTAAGAGAGCTTAAGTGGGAAGATCACACACTGCTGGTAAGAGCTGAAGAAACTCGGGCCAAGTGACAGGCAAAGAGACACCATGTTCAAGCAAAACAGTGCTTTAAAAATCTGACTAGTACCAAACGCTCTTTACAAAGTGGATTTTAAAATAATTTCAAAGCACTGGGCTTTCAAAAGATGTTTGTTTTTAAAGAATAGAGTTGGCTTTTTGTCAAAATATGAAGTTTCGGTAATGCACAGTAACAATTGTAGTATAATTATTGGCCACAAAATACCAGGTACCCAACCAAGCCTTTTCTACCCAGTTAAGAGAGCCAAGCCAAGCAAAAATGCCCTGCCTAGCCATACCCAGAAGTTCAAAAGCTCAGTCTTTGTCACCGGGAAGGAATTAATTCAAAGAGCAAAGCCATTATTAGGCACAACCAGGCACTCTTGTAAACACGTTTTGTTAATACATGTTGAGAGTTGAACTTTCTCACATTTGAAAGAGGCCTGCTTGAGAAAGTTCAAACCAAGCCAAGCTTAAGGCTTTTTTTGCTTTATTTATTTTTCTCTGTTCTTTTCTTTTTTAGATTTCTGACATCATATCCATGAGATCCACACAGTAGGGAAGTGCTAACCTTGGAATCCAATGGTTACCCCAACTATCATTTGACTTAAGGATTTTACTGTTCCCTGCTCTTTCATGTACATTTGAGGTACTCTAGCATCAAGGGAATGAACCTGAAAAGAGAAATCTAACGAGTATTTTATGCAAGAATAATAGAGACCTAAAAGTACACTTCCTCATATGCAAGGAAGCTATTTCCTAGAATCCTTGAGCTATAAAAAGCCTAAGTGAATTTGCTTAAGTTAATAAATTTTATTTAATTATGATCATCCCACAGCAAGTGTTTTATATTTCCTCTCTTTTTATTGCTTCCTCTTAGTTACTGAAACAAGAACTTCAATGTTACTATTTTGTGCTCTGATAATGATGAGGCTGTCTCATTTGTTCCATCTGTGCTTCACAATGTATGACTGTGTGTGTATATAATTAAATTGAATAAGACAGCTGTATTGTATGGTTGCTACAAACAGATGTAAGGCTAAAGATGGGGCCCAATGTTATAGGAGCAAAATCCCATCCTAAGTTGCTCCCTCTGTTTTGGCATTCATTGTCTGCACTAGGGGGAGAAACTAACCTTCACTTCTCAAAAATGATGTGAAAAATCTGCGGTGTGAACCTATTCTCTTTTCATCACCCTTGGGTGAGAGTGAAGTTCTCCAGTTGAATTAAAGGGACCAGTTTGTCTTGGTTTATTCATGTCCCATATTCCTAGGAAAAGCCTGGGCACTCCTGGGTCAACTGATGGAGTCTAGCAGCCCTATATGCTTCTTCCCCAGTAGTGATGTTGGTGATGGTTTAGCTGACAACACCTGAGTGTGGTATCTTCTCTCACTTACTCCTCACAGCTTCCTTTCAAGGCTGGTGTCTATCTGCATTTCATGTGTCAGGAAACCAAGGAAAAGAGAGAACAAGTCAGTTATTAGGTTGAGCCATCTGGAATTCCTAGTTTTATAGATCAAAAAAGGTTAAATAGTAGGCAATTCACAGGATTCAACCTGCTACTTGCCTGATAACACAGTAAGTGCTCATTCCAGAGCTTGAACTCTCATGTACCCCAGAATGCTAGCTGTGTTATCTATATTGCAGATGACAGGCCTGGCCTTGAAACGTGTGTGTGTGTGTGTGTGTATTATATTATACAGCTATCATTAGACTACTTCCTTTCTTCTTTAGTCTCTGGTTTCAACTACTGACTTTATTGTAATCACAGTGTAAAATCTGGCTCAAGTCAGACAAGACTGGCCTGCCTGTAGCCTATTCCTGCTCTATAGCTGAAATCAGCCCATCAAACCAACTTTCCCAGGCTGGCTGCCTTGAAACCTGCCTACCCCAAAATATCTTCCTCTCCGATGGCATAGAGCCACATGCCCCATCTCCCCAGCTGAACTTCTCACCATCAAAGCCACTCCACTACAGTCACATGCCTTCCTCCCAGGGTCACTGTTAAAATTCAACTGTGAACCCTGTCATCCTTTCCCATTAACATACTGAGGATTAGTTTATCAGATTCCTGAACTCCAGTGAATTTTGTTTGGGAGCTGGGCTGCAGATGGGTAAGGTCAGGAGCATGCAAGGAAGTGAATCATGGATTATTAGATCTGGCAGTAACATTAGAAGCTATATTGGCCAACCCCAGTATTTTACAGATGTGAAAACTGATATCCCAGTTCCAAAGACTAGGTGTCTTGATTTTAGGGTGACCAGCTATCCCAGCTTGCCTAGAACTGAGATATTTCCTCAAGTATGGGGCTTTCAGTGTTCAAACTAGGCAAGTCCCAGACAAGCTGAGACAAGTTGACCACCCTGATCAGGAACCCCTAACTTTTTCCTTCTTTGGACAGGCCTGCCAGGGCCCCAAAGCTGTTTGGTGCAGCTCTAAGGTGCCAGGTGGGGAAATGACCACAAACATAGCTTACTAAGGTTAGTTCCCTGGAATGATCAGTCTTTTTTCTTTTTGTTTAAATAGCATTTCATATATGCACTTTTGCCTCCATACCCCCTCTTTTTGTTTAAAACTTTGCCAGAGGGGCTCATGTGCTTGCTGGAGAGAGAGGCAGTGCGAAGGGGGATGTTGGGGGGAGAGTACCTCATGGGGAATGGTTATGCTGCAATGCCTTCCACATCTCTCCTTCCTCTTAGGATTTTGGGCAAGCACACACAAGCACCCAGTGTGTTTGTCAAGCTGCCAGGTCTGAGAATCGAACTTCCTGGCCAGCCATGTGGGATCTACCCATCTTCACCACCACATCTTGAGTTGGCCTGTGATCAGTCTTTATATGTGGACTTAGGTGCCACATGGGAGCAGTATATTGCATCTGCCTTGTTACTGACCAAACTCTCAGTCGCTCAGCCACGGCATTGAGGAAAGCAGATTGCATCAAGTCAGTCTGTGAAATTGAGATTTTGGTCGGTTTACACACTTCATGGAGACATGACAGTTGTGTCAACTGCAACTCCTGGTTCACAAAGCGTGTGGGAGAGTGCTCCTGATGTTTGTCTCTGCTATGTGGCTGCTGGAGGTTAGGAATGGAGAAGTGCTCAAGGAGGGAGACACATCAGCAGGGAGCCCAGTGCTACCATCACTTCCTTTTTCAGAAGTCTTGTCACTCAGAGGTTTGGCCTCCTGCAATACGCAGTCATCCTTGGCTAACTTTGGACTTTTGTCTTTAAATGTCAAGCACCTAAATTTCACACTTTTCTTGGTTTTACTTCTCTTTTGCCCCCAGTCCTTGGTTGCTGGGCAGTTGTTTCCTCCACATCCCTTCCTGCTTTCTGTTCGGCTGGAACGCAGCCTCTAGCTTGTGCCCTACACCCAGGGCAAGTATGTTTTGGATAAAGATGAAGGAGGGAGCAGGGGAGGAATAATGTAAGGATCCCAGCCAGGAAGCAGTGTTCAGTTCTCTCCAGTATTCCCTTTCCTGTGTGCACTGCTTTAAGATATCTCAGACACTTCCACCTCCATTCCTACACCTACAGACATCTGCTAGAGCCTAAAGCTTTCATGGTCCAGCCTTGGACTGCCCCTGAAATGTCCTTAGTCCCTAAATAAAAAATTTACTGATCCATTAAACTAAACCCTGTTACTGGGGGCTAATGTCAGAAGCAAAGGCCTCAGAAGTGAATCTTCATTGTGACCTGTATAGCTGATACCCCTCCTCAGCCATCTCAACACTTTAATAAACCTAATTCTGGAGAAGGTATTGAGGAGTTGGGAGAGCGGGTGGTGGCAGGGAACACAGTGGAGAATTATTTCGAGAAGAGCTCTGTGATGAGGATTGCCAAACTTAGCAAAGAAAAATACAGGCTGGCCAGTTAGATTTGAATTTCACATAAACAACAAATAATTTTTTAGTATAAGTATCTCCCATATAACATTTGGGATATATTCATACCAGAATTTGTTTTTTATCTGAATTCAAAATTAACAGGTCATCCTGTATTGTGTCTGGCAACTCTATAGTAATCATGATGTCTTCAAAATATGCAGCCTGGGGAACCAGCAGTTAGCGTAATGGCTATGTCGCTGGACTCCCACGTAGTCGACCACGGTTCGCGTCTCGGACCCGGTGGCTTAAATCTCACGCCGGGCGCGTGTGCGTGCGTGCCCAGGATCCCGAGAGGAGAATGGAGGAGAGGGGATTGCGGCGTGACCATCCCCCCTGGGGGGTGATTTCTCGCTTTCTGTCTCTATGTCTCTGTCTGTCTGGCGAGCGCACGCGCCCTATAGCGAAAACCTCTCCAAAAAAATAAATAAATAAATAAAAATGCAGCCTGTGCAGTGGAGGAGCAGGATTGCTGAGAAGTTTGGAATACTGTCCAAATGTCTGGCAGGAGGCAGCCAGCCCGATAAGGAGGGCATCACGTGGTATAGTCAGGTGGGGTGCTGCCCCCAAGCCAAGCCTGCTGATGCGTGGGGGCATCTGAGGCAGGCCTGAACGGGACACCCTTGGAGACTGGCCAAGATGCCAGTCCAATGGGCATGGTCTGCTGGATCCTTCCCAGAAGATACAGTGTCTGGGTCTAGTGCTGACAACTGACCCGTCCGACAGCCACCACACCAGAACTTTATTTTTAGGTCTGAGGAAGGAGCAGCAGGGTTTTAAAAGTAAGGTAATAGATACAAGGAAAATTACATTCAAGAAGCTCAATCTTGAATGTGAGTTTAAGACCAGGAAATGCAATTCTTAGGTGTAGAGATGGAGGTGGGAGGCTGCTAACATTAAACCTAGAATAGGTTAGTACAACCACTTTCCATGTTAAAATGCTTAAGGCTGAGACTCTCTATTTTTCTCTCACATTTTTTATAAACAAAGATAAGACTAGTCATTTTTTAAGAAGTGGATTTATTTTGCTACCTTTTCAGTTGTTTTCAACTCATAAAAAAAGTTGTTTTATTGTGTTGTCAGCTCCTGTACTGAATACACTATCTGCTCTTACAGATCTGCTCTAGCCTTCCTTTCTACCCTGCTTTGCGCCATAGGAAGCTGACCTAAGGACTTACTTCCCCTCTAGCTTCTGGTTAGGAGCAGCCAGTGGGGGACATAAGCAAGAGACTGGGGAGCAGGAAGACAGGAAGGTCAGAATGTTTGTCATTGGTGTTCATTAAAATGCTCAGGTGGTGCTGGACTCCCATATGGCCGACTGTGGTTCGAGTCCTGGACCTGGCAACTTGCATTCTCACTTGCCCTCTCTCTCACTGTCCCTCTCTGGTCAAATTAAATAAATAAATAGAGTTAAATAAAAGAATTCTTTAAAAAAATGCTCATTTTTTAACAATCTGATTGAAAACACTCAAAATAGAAATAGATGATTTGACATGATAAAATACATCTCGACAGCATTCTGATAGATGGAGAAATGCTAGGGGCATCTCCACTAAAGTTAAGAATAAGACAGGAGTGCTCACGCTCTTTATTATTTAAAATTTTACTGAAGGTATTAGCAAACACAGACATGCTAAGGACTTCAAGTATAAAAGTGGGAAAAGAAGGAAAATATTTTCAGGCTGGCCTCGTAGCCTAGTGGTTAAGGGAGCCAGACATGGCAGGCGGTGGTTCTAGTCTCAGCCCTGGTAGACTGAGAAACATGCCAGGCATGTGTGTGCCCATGCCAAAATTCCAACAGGATGAAGAAATGGAGAAGGGATTGATTGCAGCATGACCATGCCCCACTGAGAAGTGCTTTCTCTTCCCCTCTCTGTCTGTCTGTGATCCTGGCTGGCTGGAAAGGCTGAAGGTGTGAGACCCTTTTCAGAGTGCTCCTCTCTCTCTCTCATGAAATAAATTAATAAAATTTTTAAAAAGAAAAAGTTCTGGAACCAGCAAAATGGCATAATGGTTACGTTGCTGGATTCCCATGTAGTTGACCGTGGTTTGAGTACCAGACCCAATGTCTTAAAATTTAAGTGTGCATGCGTGCCCAAAATCCTGAGAGGAGAATGGAGGAGAAGGGATTGCGACATGGCCAATTTCACTTTCTGTCTCTCTGTCTCTCTCTCTTCTTCGTGTGGAAAACACCCTAAAAAAAAAAAAAAAAAAAAAAAAAAAAAAAAAAACAACCTCTAAAAAAAGAGAAAAAGTTCTCAGAACCAACCTGTTTCTTTCTTTTCTTTCTTCTTTTTTTGGAGAAGTTTTTGCTATAGGGCATGTGCGCTAGCCAGAAAGACAGAGAGAGACAGAGAGACAGAAAGCGAGAAATCACCCCCCAGGTGGGATGGCCACGCCGCAATCCCTTCTCCTCCATTCTCCTCTCAGGATTTTGGGCACACACGCACACGCGCCCGGCGTGAGTTTAAGCCAACGGGTCCAGGACTCAAACTGCAGTCAGCTACACGGGAGTTCAGCGACATAGCCATTACACTAACTA